CCTAAAACCCTACACTCCTAAACCCTAAACCCTTAAACCCCTAAACCCCTAAGCCCCTAAGCCCCTAAACCCTAAACCCTACACCCGGCCCCGAAACGAATCCCACAAACCCGCCACACAAGCAAGAGCGGCGAGGAGGCCACGAAGGCCGTGCCTGCTTCCGCGCAGGGGGCCCCACTTCTGCAGACGCCTAATATTATAGGGGCCTTCATCATTAGAATGGGGTTTTATTTTTTGGGGGTTCCTTATACTGTAAGTATAGTAATATTAATTAGGGGCCTTCAAAATTGAAGAAGAGGAAGTATAGTACCTAAACCCTAAATCCTAAACCCGGTCTACCCCAAGACACTGTTCTAATTATTAAGGCACCTGCAGGAGGAGTCAAGGGTTCAAGGCTTACCTGGACCCTGAAGAACCTACTTTTCTTAAAGAACTTATATAAGGAAATCATAATAAGGAACCTTAGAAAGGTAGGCTATTTGGGGTTCAGGTAGGGCTTCGGGTTTAGAGTTTCGGGTTTAGGAGTTGAAAGTTTGGGGCTGAAGCTATTATAATATCCTTATGCTGAAATGAAATATGGAGGCCCCAACCTGATTGTAGACGGAGTAGAATGAGGTACATAACTGTTCATTGTTCATCATTTCCATTGCAGTACTGGTAGAAGGATGTTCCAACTTTCTGGCGTCTGCCGTGCATATTGGGTTGCTGGGCTAGAGGTACTGTTGGGGTGGTATAGGGTCCAGATAAAACCAGGTATCCTCTAAACGGGCTGATATGACCAAAGGGTCTGATGGTGGGAAATCCGTTTTGGCGCCTTCTAGATGCATCGTGGTCTGAAGGACAATATAGAAGCCGGAATTAATCACCAATATTATTCCCTGGGGTCTCCGACCCCTGACTGCAGGAGGCGACCAAAGAGAAGGAGCTGCTCCAAAACAAGCGGGCGTTTGAACAGAGCCAAGGGTTCGAGCTCAGAGACCGCCTCGAACAGTCAGCGCAAGAGATCGCCAGGCTCCAAGCCCAGCTGGCGGCCCGGTGATGAATAAGACATACTCTCTCACACGCCTTACAGGGAATGCCAGAAAGTTGGAACGTAGGTTTAGGAGGATTCGTGCTGGGATCCCTGATGCTTTACCCTAAGGGCATGAGGACATTAATGTTCCAACTTTCTGGCTTCTACTGTAACCTGCGGAGCCCATGAGTCTGCGAGCAGGAAAAGCTCTTGGAGGAACCCCACCAATCCCTATAAAGGAGTCGAACTCTGAAGGCCTACATCCCTAAACCCTAAACCCGACATCCCTAAACCCGATACCTTAAACCCTAAACTGCCCTAAACCCTGCACACTAATGCAGGTGCCTAGCACATCCCCCTGGGCTTGATAAACGTAGGATGGGTGGGGGCCACATAATTGAAGGACACACTTTCCTACAATTGCCATTTGCGGGGCTAGTCACGGCTAGTCTGGGGTGTGCGTGCCTCGGCGCGAACAAGGCAGCTGCAGAATGTGCATCCAAACACGGCATCCTACACATATCGCTTGCGTGCCTGTGGAGGAGAAGCTAAACTACATTTTCCACCTGCCCCCTGTAACTACCCATGAACCTCCAAGTACCCTCCAAGTACCGCATAACAAGCCTTAAGGTACATGTACAAACAGTATATGTTTTATAGGTAGTTTGGGCCCAATGTGTATACTCTTTGGGCACATGGACCCTTACAGAAGGCCGTAAGACGACTAGCACATGGCTGGTTTCGCGGCATTTGGGCACGTCGCCGAGTTGGGTCCTCCCGGTGCTGTGCCGGACCCAAGGCTAGGCGGTTTAGGGTTTAGGGTCTTTGAGAACAAAACTTCAAAACGTCTACAGAGTGAGTTCCAGTGTCCCCCTGCAGTCTCTAAATATTCCCCTACGGTCCTTTGCCCTTAGCAGTTTACTATCATGTACCCCCAAGCCATCTCCTCGCCCGGCCGCTCGGGTTATCTGAGCACAGATGAGGTCGGCAAAAGCCGGTGAGACATTGAAGTGCGGAGCCCAAAATATGCAGATGCGCGAGCATCGGTGCCGATGCTTCATTTGGAAGTTGTGGCGAATGCCTCGACCGGCTTCGCTTTAGTCTATGTGCTATTTGTTGCTGGAGCTCATGGCTCGATTGTCGGTAGTGCTGTTCGAATTGCATTGCGGTGTGTGTCTGTGTCTCAGCCAAGTGTGTTTGCCCTATACTCTGCACCGTAAACCTCAACCCTCATGGTTACCAGTCGTCAACCCTAAACTCTCAACCCTGCGAGTGGGCTGTTACGAACGGTGTAACTAAAGGGTTCTTTGGCTTGGGTCTTCAGATTCACGCCTAATTGGAAGCAGTTTTCAATTTGTCGTTATTGCAATCCCAATGAAACATCCAAAGTTCTGATTTTGCAACGACACCAAGTTCAGTCTAGTTCAGGGGTATAGTGCAATACTACATACCCGGGATCCACTGAACCGCACACAGCTTGAAAAGCTTTTAACCACAATCCTTAAGCCTTAAGCCCTACACTCTAAGCCCTAAGCCTTCAGTTCTTAAGCCTGGTGCCCTGAACCTTAACCCCCCAAGCCCTAATCACAAAGCTAGATTTTGCCCTATCAGCCCTCTGAGACCCTGTATATAAAGCAAAATGAAACCCGAGAAGACTTCCAACTGCAACCCAAAACCCTTCAAGACGAGGGCTTCTGCTTCATATTGAGAACCCTAATTAAGACCAAGGGTTTCTTAGTCAGGTTCCTATGTTAATCCCTAAACCACTAAACCCTAAACCCCCTCAGCCCAGACCAGTCTCTGAAGCCTCATTTCACTGCGCTTGGCGAGGCGGAAGTCTTCGAAGATCACCGTGAAGCTAGCCACTGGATGAGCAGAGTTTGGAGGGGTAGGGTTTGGGGTTTTACTTGGGCTTAGGCGCCCAAGGGATGGGTTAATTGGTCTTGTTTGGGGCCTTTAGTAGGCTTCAAAGGTGTGGGTTTCGGAAGGAGTGGATCTAGGGGGTTTATGCAGCAAGGTTGTACTAGTACGGCATTCGGTCGCTGACGGGGTGATTCAAGTTGTTGAAGCGTTTTCTGGTACATAGGCCCCTGGTTCCGCTGAGTTTATGTGATAGAAATGAGGATGAGGGGAGCAATGTCCTCCCAACCGGCGGTTGATCTTGCAGAAAAAGCCGCAGGGCCGTGGTCTCCTCCGGTTTCTCTCCTAGGTAGTATTAGGGAGACCCCTTAAAGGGGACCCTTCTTAACCCTTTTTCTGGCTCTCTTAAAGGGGACCTTATTGAGAGGTCTATATATGTCCAAGGGTCCCCCTAATCCTAACTCCTACTCTCCAACAGCCAAGCCTAAACCCTTTCAAGAGGCCCTGCTTGAAGGTTCATGGGTATCTAAAAATCTATATGGGTAGTTTTCTACATCAGGGTCCCTTGTAATTAGGGTCCGTTTTTATAAGGCTGCCTATAATCTCTAGTCTGATGGCTCTAAGTCTTAGGTACCTGGATTGCGTTGGTCGTGTCGGCTACAAGGCCATCAGTGCGGCGCGTGACTTCAAGCCCCTGTACACTGAGCTTCTTGGAGGTTCATGGGTAGTTATAATAATAAGTGAGGTCATAAGTAGGGCAACTATAATCATAACCCATATTAGGGGACTTATAGCCTTACTCATAACTACTCATGGACCTCCAAGTTGAACCCTCAAGCTAGGCCTCATAGGTGCACTCAGAAAATGGGTGTCTGGTTGTGGCGGAGGCCACTATGCAAAGCAGAGTACAGTATGAAGCTGTCTCCTGAACAAACCATTGAAGTTCAAAAAACCTCTTGCTTCGATTGACCCGCATGTACCCTGAAAAACACTACGCATCCCAGAGAGAAAGTTGGCCTGGTCACTTTGTGACATATTATAGCCCAAAGGCTCCATACACCTGGCCTGGCATCTGTATACGAACCCCTTTGAGGCCAAAGTACCATGGAGCAAAAGGGAAGGCTTGCTCAATTTCGGTTTTTAGGGCCTTATAAGGCCACCTGATCAAGCTGGGGATTGGAGGAAGGAGGCACCCTTTGCATTTCGGAAGCCTTCTGGCCCTTAGAGCCCGGGTTTAGGGTTTGGGGTTTTGCATACGTTGTTTAGAGTGTATATGGGGAGAGAAAGATACAAGGACGATGCATCTTGCTGCTGGATGGCTCTTGGAGACAGTAGAGGCCACGCATGTTAGGACAGATTAGAACACCGGCCCTTAGGGGTTTAGGGTTTTGGGTTTAGGGTTTATAGGGTTTAGGGCCAGAGCGATGGATTCACTAATCGCAACAATGGAATGGATTGCCATGAGTTTGGAAAGCCCACGCTACATCAAGATGAGCATACAAATCGAGCTCCCAGCTTAGACAAGGTTGTGTGTTCGTTTATTTGTTCGTTTACTTCGGTCCGAATTTGTTCCTTCGGCCCCGCACGCAGCTCTCGTAACTAGAATCCGTGCATGCGATGAAGGCCGGGCAGACGCCACCTGCCAGTCATTCGGTGGTTTACTCTAAATCTCTGACGACTCATACGGTTGATGATACAAATCCTGCAGTACCCCGGCAAACTATAAGGAAGCATACGAATCAACCTTACAGTTTTAGGGTTCTTAAGGTGATGCTATAAAGGTTTACATCATCAGCCGTATGTCAAGTCTTTTTGGGGTCGAGTGACGAGACCGTATTGAGCTGTGCTTGTTAGGGTTTAGGGTTTAGGGCACTTGCTGACAACTCCTGCAGCTGTTGTTGCATTCGGGGAGGTATTGGACAGCAATGCAGCTCTTTCCGGAATTGATGTGCCTTTAGTTTCAAGTTTGTTTTGCCGGCGTGAAAAGCTCCGCTGCATACCGAAGAGCCGGTTGCAGTTGCTACATGAATCTTGAATGATTGGCTGCTTGACCCGCCGGGCTCGAGTTAGAGGGCATTTCCTTGTCGGATCTCTAGAGTTTCCAGCACAAGATTCACAGCTAGAGACCATGGCCCGTTCCATCGTGCTGACCGCCGCGGTGTTGCTCTGCTCCGGTGCTCTTTTCAGCGCCTTCGTGCCAGCTGCTCGCCCGGTCGTGTCGGCGCCGAAAGTCTCCGGAACGACGGCAGCAGTGACCACAGCCTTGATCGCCCCACAGGCGCGCGAGAAGTTTGAGGCTTTCCAGGTTAGGGCTCAGGGCGTTGGGGTCCGGTTCGGGGCCACAGGCGCGCGAATCGTTCAGATGCACAGACATGTGTGGGTTTGGTTACGGTTGCTGATGCATAGGGCGCAACTAAGTGTGAAGATGTCTGGTAGGTTTTAGGGCTGCATGGGATTTGAGTATGAGCTTGCCTCACTGTTTGAGCCTTAGTTTCTGTCTGGCTGTTTGTTTGTTTGTTGTTTGTTTGTGTGTTTGTTTGTTTGCTTTTCGATGGTTGCGCTCCGTATGCACGATCCCTAATTCGACCCTGTAGCTCTCGGCTATGATGTCTCTCGGATTTGTTGCGCGCTTTCTTGCCGCTGTACTTTGAGAATCATGGAACCTAGTAAGGTTCTTGGTGCCTTAATTGGGGTTATAAGCAGGTAGAAGACCCGTAGTTACTAAGTCCCATGATCCTTTAATCGGCTCATGCATAAGTACTCGAAGAGTATTCTCTGTCCAGGCTGGATAGGCATCCTAAATAGTTAGATAGTATATATTCTGTAAGACTACACCTCCTCCCAAGAGTAGCAGCTCTAAGGGTTTTCCTAGTGTTTCATAGAGGTTATAAGGGATAGTTAACGAGTACTACTCTTCGGGGTTCCATCTAAACATGAGAACTAATCGTGGAACATTCCCAAAGCCCCTTTCAACGTGTGAAGGCACCCTTTAAGTGTTTATCATACTGTGTTCTCAGACGCCTGCATATGGGTAGTTCTCTAAGCTAGGGTCCGTATTTAGATCCCCAATATAGTACGGCACCCTTTTAAAACCGACCCTAAAAAGGGACTCTAATTTAGAAAAGTGGAGACGGGCCCTAAAGGACCTACAGCACACAAAAGTCTAAGAAGCCCTAAACCCTAAACCCTAAGCCTTAGGACCTAGCTTTCAGGGCCCTGCTCTGAGCCTTCATTGGCAGGCACTTCCCCTGGGAACCCTGATAAGCCCCACAACCCCAAACCTCGGTTCTGGGGCGTTGGGGTTTAGGGTTTTTAGTGCTTTAGGGCTTTAGGGTGTTGGGTTTTAGGGTTTTGGGTTTTAGGGTTTAGGGTTTTAGGGTTTTGGGTTGAGGGTTCAGGGTGCAGAGATTGGGCTTACAGGGATGTAAGCTTCAGGACTAAGCGCAAGCGCATTTTCGTTTTCGCAAACTGTAAGTCCCTACGTTCCAAGCCTAATTCCCCTTCCACTTAAACGCACATAGGCTAAGTTAGTTATGACATGACGCTCGTCTGAAAGAATCGCAATAGTATTTCCTCAAAGTCCCTATACGGTTCGGTTGTGTGATCTTTGTTTGCCATAATTTGCACCCAAAACACTTGTTCAAAGCATTAAGGCCTCTTAACCTAAACCCTCGCAAAGCGCCATAAATCCCCCTGTAGAGCCCGCAGGCCCCCCTGCATTGCACAATGTACCTCAGGCTGCCTTTGCTGATGAGGGGGCGGTGTGGATTCCGGCCCTTTCGGCCATCGGGGCCGGCTTTGCAATTGGCTTGGCCGTCCCTCGTCGTCGCATTTCAGGCACAAGTAAATGCCAAGGCATGTAGCTGAGTTTTCACCAGTGTTATGTAGCTGAGCTCTCACCAGTGTTTAGTGAAAGCGTACTGACTTTATTTGTGTATAAATGGTATTTTCTTGATAGCTGACCCAATGTTGGTTGGGACTCTTCTTAAGCACCACCTGGGGGAGAAGGCCTGACTGATAATAGGGAGAAGAGGGGCTACCGTATGTACGTATACGTACGTATATATGTATGTATCTTTCGAATTTCTATATTTATATGTACATTTATTTTTATATGTTTATGTATATAGGTATATAAGTATAGAAGTATGTGGCATGGACCTTTATGTA